AGGTGTATTTCAATATTTTGAATGAGTTCAATATCTATCTTCCCTCATAAAACCTTGTAGGTACTATCTAGAGAGAAATACAACTAATTTAAAACATGTTTTTTTAATTGGAAGAAAAGAAGAGAGTTTGCCTAGAGGTATCAAAAGCTGTGTGTAGATGTGTGTGTAAAGTAAAGTATGATGACAGTATTAAAGAAAGTTTGGGTGCTTTAAAAACACTCATTCGTCCATTAATTCATTTTCTATCACATAATTATTTTGCATTTATAATATGCATGGCTGGGTAATGAGTCTAAATATGCCAAGGGAGTATTGGATATTAACTAGTTTCAATGCACCCAAAGGCACACATTTTAAATGATATGTGATAAGTCACAGAGAAGCACTGCTGTCTGAATAAGTAAAACACAAACTGCCTACAGAAATTGCCAGATGTATAGATGTAAAATGAACAGTTCTGTTTCATATCTGCACCTCAGAAAGATTTTTATAGCTTTCATTTAAATCCTATTAGTTGAGGCAGACTATTGCTCAACAACTAAAGGAGAAGAAACAAGATAGTCTTATGATATCTCATTTATCTAGAGTATACAAAGGTTCCAGTCAGCTGCTACACCATTTAACTGGAGTAATCCCATAAATTGTGAATAGATTACCATTTTTCAAAGAAGTGAAATATTGTAAAATTCAGTGAACATTTAATTCTAACAGTAGATATATGGAGAATATGAACTGGGGTCAGGTTTTTTCTGATCCTGAGTTGTCATTTGTTTCTTGCTCACAGAGTTGATGTGAGTAAACTATTTGGGTTACGAGAGATTAATTCATAATTACAGAATAAAAGAATTTAATGGAAAAATAGAAATACTGGTGTGATTCAAAAACCAGAGATTTGTCACAAAGAGATAAACTAAAAAAGTAAGAAAATTAGTTAGACTCACAAATCTAGAGGTATTCTTATAAAGACAAGTGAGAGAACAAAAATCTCAGAAATAGGATATTATTAAAAAAAAAAAAAGTAGCACAACTTGGAGAAAAAGTGAACAGAAACAAACATATCTATTAAAAAAGGAAAAATTACTGAAAAAGATGTCCATTCATTTAGTAACATATGGACCTAACAGACAAAAATGTCAAAAGGCCACCTATAAAAATACTTTCTGTGGAATTTAATATTTGATAAAGTGATGCTATGCTTATGACATTAGAGGAATATACAAATTCCAGAGAAAACACTACACAGGGGTACATAAATATGAGGGTAATCTGTACCAGTAAGAAAAGTCATTTTATTTTGAATACTGTATATGCTCCTATATATATTTCACAATTCGTTTGACTTCAACAAATTATGAAAACTTAGAGGGCCGACTAAGATAATGAAGGAATTGGAAGACGTGTGACTCAACAAAACACACTCTACAACTTCAAAAAAGTAAAAACTTGAAGTGTTAGGTAGAAATAATATAGATGCCAAAAAGAATGTTCCTAAAATGAGGGTTACTGAAAAGAAGTCAAAGTGTCAGCAGCATTTTAAATGCAATGTTTCAAAGTTCTGACATCTTTTCTTATGTTATGATATGTATGAGTTGGGTTGAAATTTCAAAAGGGCTCAAAAGTAGGCAAAAACAAAGTTAGGTCAGGAGACAGCTGCTTTTTTGACACACCTGGACTAGTCTAAATGTTGTATGCTATGAAAGCAGAATCAATTGTAACACTTTTCAATAAATGGTTTCCTACAGTCCTATGATTGTAGAAAATTTCATGGATTTAGGATTTAAAAATCATGTAGGTTTTTTTCACTTTATTCAATATAATTTATTATTGTATGACCCTTTAAACAAATGAAAGAAAGATTTCACACATACATTTTAGATGAAATTTCATTGGCCATTTATCTTATGATTGTTTTCAATTCTTAGGGAATGACTAAGTTTTTGACAAGAAATCAACAGGTTTCCAAATAACAAATCCTCATACCTTTAGTACTGTATTGTTTAGGCGGATTTAAACTGAAAGATATGCTTGTTTCCAGACAAAAAAAATCTGAAGAGATAATGTTCAAAATGTGAAACCAAAATCATAAGCAAGAATGATTACAAAAATAATATTAAACATGTTGTTTTAACTTTTGGGCTTTTCTAAATTACATTAATGCTATAACTTTTACCAGTTATATTCTTGAACTTGAATTATTTTTATGATCTTTATTTTTTCAGACTATCTAGATGTTTTATGTATAACTTACTGTGTCAGTTGAAAGACTCAGTAATTTTAAATAACATGTCAGTAATTTTAAAGAAATTCTTGAATCCTGTATGAAAAATATAACTAGTTTTAAACTCCAGAGAATATTTTTATTTCATTTTAATAAGTGTTGAAAACAATTCTTGATTTTTATTAAGACAAAGTATTTTCATATTTTTTATTACTTTAATAAAAATTAAAGCTAAGCTAAAATTTATTAACATTTTAAGATAAATCTAAACACTATATTTTGACTATATGACCATGTTTAAATTTATTTCCTCCATCTTTCAGTGTATCCCTTTGGTCCTTATCAGAGTGTTAGCAATATACAACATTATGACAAAAATAAGAGGAGGCATGCTTGTAAAGAGCTCATGACTAATGAGACAAGGTTTAAGAGATATGCTGAAAATTTCTCCTGATTAAAAAAATAAGTTCCATTTCATTAAATGCATTATGTATAGTCTTCATGGATCTTTTCTTATACATTAAAAAAAGAAGAAATATAATTGTATATAGGTATTTTTTTAGAAACACAAAGTACATTGTTTTTAATGTGCATACATGCACTTTTATGTAAAAGTTGTTTTCTTACAATTTTTAAGTTTAACTTTAGCAATCAGAGGTGTAGAAATAGAAAGTTCTTGGGTGTAGACAATGATCTCATTTGTATTATTAAGCGTATCACCATTTCCCTGTCATCATTTTATAAATGACAGTGGTAGCCTGATTAGGCTTTTTTTAGGGCTTTACAAAAATAACTAAATATACAGTTACTTTTCTTAACATCAAAATGTTCATTATGTTCATTAAAAAACAAAATGCATGTTTAGCAAAAGAAAAACTGCTTCCTCAATAATTATTTAAACATTCTGATTTTAAATAAAGGTAATTAGTGCTAATTTTTAGCTTCTTTAATTACATAAGGGACGTGCTTTTCAATTTAGAAGATGAGAATATTTCCATTCCTGATGATAAATGATACACGTACTAACAACTACCACCATGTGAATTTGGGGGGCAAAATTGTCAGGAATGGAGGGTTTTGGTTTAGCTTATACAGTTAGATTAACCACAAAATTGACTATGCCTATTAAATCAGAGCTAGGAAGTAATTTTAAAGATAACTGTGTGAGACTAAGATGACATTAAACACTAGAAGTTAAAAAAAAATTCAGACATGATTAAAGTTATATGAAGAACTGAGGAGAGTATAAATAAAAACAACAAAATGCTATTTTTCTGCTTCTTTTTCATCTCGTCCACACTTCATCCCAAACCCTAAATTTTGAGCAGTATGAGCTGAGCTGGCTAAAACAGAAGACGGAAATTGTTATTCAAAATTAATTAATTATAATACACATCGGGAATAATATGCAAACAAATCTTAATTTTCTTGGTAAAATAATAGATGCATTCTTTGATTTCTAGCAGCACGTATATCTGATAACATATTTTATAATCCCTGAAATCAGGGATCTAAACGAAATACTAGATTATTAAAAAGTAGAGAAATTTGCATTAAAATATATGTAGCATTAATATTTTTATCAACAAAAATTGTTACCATGATTCTTAAAATTAAAAAGAAAACTAGTCAGTAGAGAAAAGACATTTGTAGATGTTCAAAATTTCAGTTCTATAATGTAAGTGAAATTTCCTCAAGGTTGGTACTCACTAAGAGTTAGAGGTTGAACTGATTTTTCACTATATTTGATGTAGATTTACCAGTTAATATATGCTAACAGGAAATATTTGTATCTATTTAGAAATACAAATTTGAAATACTCTGAATCATATGCCCTTTGAATTTTTACCTTGAAATTATTGATAATGTACTTCTATAATGTATATTATTACTTTAAGTGAAACACTACTGAGAATATGTTTTATAAAATTTGGAAAAGCTTGGTTTTTGATAATAAGTAAAACTTTAAGTCCAGAAAGAATGAATAAAATTTTAAATCCACAATTTAGTTTGAGGGGCAAGACTGAATCACAGTCCTTATTTATTAAAATTTGATTTTAGGCTACTTTAATAAATATATGCTAAAGAATCTCAAAGCATTGTTGTTTTTCAGAGTGGTTGTATAAAGTTATCCACTTCGAGACTATGGTCCCAATATCGAAAGAGCTGACTACAATTATCAATGTCTCAATGTTAGAAGAAGCTACTATTTTAAATAAATGAATAATATTGCTGTGTTGATATGCTTTCATCGTGTAGTTCCTCTGATTCGGATAAGCAACGTGTATCCATGCCAACATATTACTAAATCACGTAGAATGATCAAACTGATGGCTGCAATGATTTCTGAATTTAGCCTGTGTTTAATGTCATTGTGGGAAAAGGATGATTAAGTGATAATGCTGGTAAGCAATAAGAAAACGAGATCTCTCGGTGATTTAACTGTGAAGAGATGTTTTTCCACCTTAAGCCCTTCAAAACACATGGAAATCAAGTCAGCAGGTGAGCAGTATTCAAAGGAAATAGGAAGATCATTTGAAAAATGTTTTCAACAACATCAAAAATTATCTTTGATTGTAGCCAACCACCATGTCCTAACCCAGGAATTTGTCTTGTTAAGTATATCCATTTTTCGATTGTAAAGTGCTGTCTGCATCCAAGAGTCACTTTTATCCTTGTTTCTGAAAACAACCTGAACTCTATTTTTACTAAGAAGAATGGCATGTTGAACTTTATTTCCTGAAAGGGAATACTTTGCTACAGCCTTTTACGGAATACTTACTCAAATATGGTGGTTTGTAAGGCGCTCGTGTATTAGACAGCAGTCCATCCAGCTCTTTCCTCTCCAGGGTGCTGTGAAGGGCCTTCTCTTTGCCGAAGGTGGAGAAGGACCTCTCCGCCCCAGGCTGGGCTTCTGGAGTTTCAAACACCTCAGTGTCTGGAACAGAGTCCATGCCAGGAACATGCAGATTGCTACGATAATCAGCAGCCTGGCGCCCATCAGAAGGGACAAATGAAGGCATCCAGCACCGATCTGAGTGGCCCAGGGCTTTACATTCCTCGGTGCAGTTGGAGAAGAGATCCATACCTGCGAGCAGAAAACACAGAAGCTATGGAGGGAGCCTTCACCAACATGACCAGCTACTTAGAAGTGAAAAGTTACAGGCAGCATAAAGAGCAATGGGTGAAGGTATCTTGACAAATTTTTCTTGTTTTAACCTGACAGGAGCCAAAAATCGCTTTACATTATTTTATAAAGGGTAAGACTCTTGGCAAAGAGGCCTATGAGATAGATGTTTCTAAACTACTCAGGATATCGGGGGGGAAATGTTGGCTCTAAATTATTTAAATAACTAGAAAATAGTGAGAATGAATATTTTAAAAAATCTCTCGTGAAGTTCATAACAGAGAAAAAACCGAAGTGGAAAACCTTCGTTATCCATAATCTCTAATGATGTTAAGTCATCTGATATTTTTTTTCTTAGAGACAAAAAGGGAAGAAATATGGGAAGTACTAGTGATGACATTTAGATTATAAAATCTGGACATGAAATAAAAAGTGAAATTCAACAGAAACATGGCATACATACTGATACATCAGTAAATAACAAGAATAAAATAAGATTTCGTGAGCGGCCAAGAGCATGCTTTCTTAGGTTCCTAGAAAATGACTTCCTAAAAGTTATTTTTCAGTGACACTCTCGTAGTCCATATTACTACAAACCACTTATCATTTACCACCTTAGACAAGTCCAGAACAAATGACTGTAATTAGTGAAACCAAGGTAACAAGTGCAATGTGAGTCAGCTACAAACGCTATTGACAAATACTTTATTACTTGTTCTATATTGGAAAACACTTGTCCTAGACAACACAGAGCTGTTTGCTTACTAATCCTAGATAGAATACCAAGATTTCAAATGACATCTTCAAGTTTCATTGTCTCCCATAGATTGACAAGAATATTAAACACGTTATTTATGACTCAAGAAAGCTCACTCACTTTCTTAAGAAAACATAACAATTTGGGGGCACTATAGAATACCATTTGTTATTCATTTTGATAACTAGCAGTAGGTGAAAAAATAAGTACATGAACAAAATCACATTTTAACGTGTTTCTAAACAGAGCAACGCATTTATTAAATATGTTTAAAAACAGGATCAATTTGAAATAACCAAAGTGTGATTAGTCCGTACGTCAGAAACTCTCAAATGCATGAAATGCCTGGTGTGGAAAAACTAGGGATTATTTTTTTGACCAACAGAGTAATATTTATGTCATGAACACACTTGATTTTTTTTCTTTAAATGTTATGAGTGATTTGAGCTCTTGAACAAGTTTTAGTTTGCAAATTCCTAATGGTATTCTACTAGTACTAATTTACTTTTTTGTGTATATATTTTAACATCTCTCTATATAATATAAAGAAATCAATTTTTCACAATTATTAACCCTCCAGATTATCCTCAAGTATTTTGGAGTTAAGAACAGCTAATTACATATATTATGTTTTAAGAAATAACACCAAGCTTCTTATCATATATTAATCTCACTTTATAATGACTTTTTAATTTTAAATTAAACTATGTATAATGCTAAGTCTGACTTCAATTCTAACATTCCATTGATAATTGATGCATAAGCCTGGAAGTAAACTACTGATCAGTGAACTCTTGAGGAACATAAACATGAGCTGAAGCCAAGATAAGGAATCAGACTAAGAACAGCATGTAAAACATGTCAATTTTTCTGTAGACACCAGGGAAGTTCAGTTATCCTATGCCTGTAAGGAGATAGGTATTAAAAAAAAAAAAAGAGGAAGGGAAGGAGAATATCCCTGATGCACACTGACATACGAGCTAGGTAGAAGTTAGAGAACCAGAGACATCTCTTTTTGAGGCACTGTACTCTAAATGCTCCCTATTTATAGTGTGATAAGGAATAAAAGGCCTTTTTGATAGGTGGAACTACCATTAATAGTAAATTATGAGCAATTATATATTTTAAAAATAAATTCATGTCATTAAATTTGAAGTTGATGAAAAAATTCAAATTTTAAGACAGAATTGTTTTATTGGATCCTGATAAAGATGGGTACTAATGCAAAATTTGATATTAATACAGTTTTTCATCACATAACTGATCAAACCCTTTCAAATATACCTCAGGAGACCATTAACAATCTTTCACATCTGTTTGAACACTGTACCCAAGTATTCTTATAATTTTGAAAATGATAATCACAGAGAAAAATTTTAATAATCTAGTCTCTCAACATTATCATTAAGATGTTTGCCTATGTTAGAGGGTACTTTTAGTAGAATTTGTTTTTATGGGTAGTTTATATTCAGTTGTGCCCATTTTCTTCTCTCGAAGTATATGTTTTTCTGCCTCTTTGACATATTAGAGGCTAGTTAAAATTCCCTTAGATGATGAAGTAAAGTTCTCATGAATTGAGAACCTGTAAAACAAAACATATCATGTGCATAACAAGAAAAGTGAGGAATATGATAAAGTTTTCTGTTGGAAGAACACTGTTACTTGCCTGAAAGGGGAACACTTGTAAATAATGTTCTTAATAAATTTATGAGCTACTCCTTTTAAAGTGGGATCCCCATAGTGATAACACAGCTTTATATAACTACAAGGAAAGGGAATATGGCACACATTCTGCATGTAGATGTTTCACCAGTTTTACTGATAAAACAAGTATACTAATTTCTCATGAGGAAAATATCAGACACAGAAACAATTTTTTTAAATCGTATAAATAGTACATCAATAAATTTCAAATAAGTTTTAGAAACATTCACTGAAAATGTTTTTTTCATTTGTCTTAGATATATAGTTTGAGAACAAAATACATCTTGCCCATTTACTGGTCCTCACCTTAGGGAGCCATTGACTAAAATTATTTTAAAATTATTTTATCTTTTTTCATATATCACTAATCCCATTAAATAAATAAATAAATATATATATATATTTTTTGCGGTATGCGTGCCTCTCACTGTTGTGGCCTCTCCCATTGAGGAGCACAGGCTCCGGACACACAGGCTTAGCGGCTCACGGGCCCAGCCGCTCAGTGGCATGTGGGATCCTCCTGGACCAGGGCACGAACCCGTGTCCCCTGCATCGGCAGGCGGACTCTCAACCACTGTGCCACCAGGGAAGCCCTAAATATATTATTTTAATGACCAGATAAGCAGAGGCATATTTAAGTTTTGTGGTGGTAAATGACTGCTCAAAGGACAGGAATGTCAGTTATTTCAGTACATGGGACATTTAAAAATGCATACCTTTCACATTGCTTTCGGAATATTTTAACAGCTCAAACTGAAGTCCCAAGAGAAAATAACTTTAACTTCTTTTTTTTTTTTCTTCTTGTTCAAATGCCCTTACTTTAGAACCTGTGGGATTTGTATAGCAGACAAATACAGGCCAAGCCTGAGTTTTGGTAATTCCTAAGAAGCATTTCAACATACATATTTTATTTACAATTTCTTATCCTATTTATTTATTTTTTTCCACTTCTCAGAAATGTCTGTTCTGCAAGGCATGACAGCTGAAGTGATAGACTGCCTGTTATGCAAAGATATATTCAGACAAATTTTAAAATACATCTTTTTTAACTAGCAAGTAACTTGATCCCTTACAGTCAGAGGCAGTGATATTACCACTGAGAACAAACTGATTCCAAAAAGGTATCTGTATTCAATTGGTGCTGTTTTCTGATGAATGTAATACTATAAAATTACATGCTCATTTCTCTCTCACATACCAAGCCTTCAGAAAATATGTGGGTTTTTTTTTTTCCCAAATATGATAAATAATTTAAAAAATCAACACTCAAGTTTTGGAGGAAATTTCAAGTCTTCCTTTAATTATTTAACACTGGAGAAATTACAGATATTAACTCTAACCATAAAAATTGCTATAATTTTTAGGAAAATTTGATTTGAGAGCAGAGATTTAACAACATAATTCACCTATGAAAAAAATCAAAACATGCACATCAAAATTTTCTCCTTACTTATCTTTCAAAATGTTTATATTTTTCTCTGTTTTCTCTTAACATTGGTCTTATATTTTTTCCAATTGTAAATGTCTCCTCATTATCAAGTTGTAGTTCACATTTTCACCAGAAACCTTAACAGAAAGTTTTTGCTTATTCAGGCAATGGTATGAATTCACTTTATTTATAAAGCCAGAAACTAATTGCCATTATCTAAATTCTTATTGGAGTCAGGAAAGGGGAATTTGTATTTTATGACAAACCAAGAATTCTCTTATTGACATTGTAGTAGTAGTGCAGTGGCTTAATGCATTTCATGATATACTTTTATCTACTAGTATGAAAATACCAATAATACGAATCACTTAATTTTTTAAATTTATAGCCAAGTTTTGACCATGTGTCATGTATAAATCTCATGATAATTAGGTAAGAAATTGACACATTGAGAAGCTAAGTTCCCTTTATAACTAAAAGAAAAATTTATAAGAAGAGAAATTTGAAAATTTTCAGGTAAATATAACAAGTAACATTAACTGAATCATCACTTACTAGCGTTTTCTTCTTCAATACATATTTCAAGAAGGCACAATTATTAAAAATAAATTCATAATTAATCCTAGTATGTACATGGTAAGTATTTAATAAATGGAAAAAAATTTCTCACAATTAAATAGATTGCCTTAGATCTACCTCCAATAATATTAAAATGTTTAAGAATATACAACTAAAAATGTTGTATCAGTATTTAAATTAGACAAAAATTCTATCTTTTAATCTAATGGTATTATAAAATTGAAAATATATTGGTTTTAAGTTCATTTTATTGTTTTTTTATCTTTTTTTTTTTTTGCTATTTAAGCTTTGATTAATCAGTTTCTCCCCTTGTGATGGTTTATGTAAGCATTTACCACATCTCCTTGGACTTCTGCCATATCTAACCAATACATCAATACTGCACTGAAAAAAACGGAAAGCACCTTGACAAGGCTATAGAAAGTAAGTGCCACAGAGCAGTGGTCAAGCCGAAGAATTTCACACATGGAGCCAGGTGCAGTGGAAAACTGAAAAAGCTTATGTGATTCTCTGTGCAGCTGCCTCCGTGTTTAAAGCCCTTCTATGAACAAGATTGGTGACTGCAAATGGCTTAGAAAGGAGAAAAGCAAGGGGGGGAGGGAGGAGAAAGAACAAAAAGGAAAACTATTCATAGAAGAATAAATAGAAGGAATATCCAAATAAATAAATACAAGCTAATGTTAATGTAGAAAAAGAAAGTGGGAATAAATAAAAACTTAGGAAGTTTAAACAGGTGAAGCACTAAGCTAAACAGTGTATATAATGTAGTATGAAATGAGGTACAAACTAAAGAATTCAGAATCTATTTCTTTTCAGTGCTGTTTTTCCTTGATAGTCTAACTTTCCCCCTTTATAACCTAGCTCAGTGGGATCTGCTTATTAGCACAAAAGTTTTTCATATTCTAAACCTGGAAATGTATGTGCTATGAAGAATATTCTCTAAATATTGCAAAATTGGAAGACCATCAATACTTGGTTTTAGAAGGTAATAAAGCAGATGTACTTATTTACCTGAAATAGGCTTAACTTTTTGGAAATACTGTAGCTACTTGGTGTAAAGTTTATAGTACACAACAAAGAATGGACAGGAAAAAGTCATTAACATCTTAATTCTCTGCATTTAGGGTTTTATACTTTACAAGGTAAACACTTCAAAATCATTTTTACAATAAAATTAGACATATTAAATCTGACTTAAATTCAGCACACGAAGGTATAATTACTTCTTAATACGAGTGTGTTATTACAATTTGAAAACAGCTATCATTGTGCCCAGTATGTGGTGGCAGCTCTATAACTGCTAATGAAGTAGATTGTTAATTCTGTAATACTTTTACATGTTTAAGAACTCAAAGATAGAAAAAAGAATTTGCCATTTTGATAAGAAAAACTGCCTGCTTTTAAATATGTTTTCCTTACACAATTTAGCATTTAAAATTTCCTTTTAATGTTTTGACATCTCAAATAATTTAAAAGAAACATTACCAAAATGGCAACATTGAGCACCTGTGAAATGAAAGAGCTAGTGGGAAGGCACACTGATAAGAATGTATTCCCATCCATGTTCCAAATTTAACACTTTTTGCAGGTGTTTATTCATTTCTCTTTTTTCGGTTATTATGGCTCATTATGTCTGAGGGGACTAAACTAATTGAAATGTTCATTGAGATTGGAGTGCTACAGAAAAAAAACCAAAAAACTAAAAAAACAAAGTAGGGGGGAGTGGGAAAGGAATAAAGTGCACCCAAGGAACCATGCAGCAGTGGATACTCTTTTTTTTTTTTTAATTTTAAGCATTTTGTTTCAAAAGTTTTAAAAGGCAGACTATTAAATTAGAAACTCTGAAAAAGGAATAGGAATGAGCAATTCTAAACATATACCTTTTAAAAGATAACAATAAATCATATGTCATATATAGGCCAAAAATGAAAGGAACTTTGTACTCAAATATAAACTTCTGGCAAGATCTGGTTTGTTGTCAGGTTCCCAGACACTAAATAGATGCTCTGTTCACTTAGCGTGAAGGCCCGCAAGGGGCAGGGACCTCCGGGGATTCTTGGCAGTTCTCAAGTCTCATTAGGTCTGCATATTAATGACTTGCAGCAATATAAAGAGACCCTTGAGCAGCCTTTTTTTCCCCTCCTCCTGCCTGCGTTTCCCAAGGCTAAGGCAGCCTCAGACACGGCACACATAAGCCAAGTGAGAGGCTTGCAGCCACCACTGCTGCCAGGCGACCGTGGGGCTGATACTGCCCTTTGGCACACTGCGTCAGCACCGTTCAGAGGCCCAGGGAGCGTGTTAAGGAATGGGTGCTCTCGAGGATCAATGGTACCTTGAAAATGAGAACCCTATCACCCTACACTTAATCACTAACCAAAATAAAGCTCAAAGCTCAAGTGAATGAAGTTGGACCTTGAGACAGTCCAATGATGGGTGTCTTAGAAGTTATAAAAGTTAGCTTGCCTTTGCCTTTCTTTATGTGTCAGATAAACACAAAACTCAATTGAAAAAGAAAAAGCAAAAAAAAAAAAAAATCAACAAGCACCCTTCATAGTTGAAATGCAAATTAAATGGAAAGAAAACCCAAACCTTGTGAAATTGTTTTCATTATTTTAAGGTACATATTTTATTTCTTTTAAGTGTTTTCTTTAATTATTAGTAGTTAGAGTTATCAGGATCCTATAAAACTTAAAGGGTAAATTTATATAGAAAAAGTAAAGTAAGATAAAGTAAAACAAAGTAAAAAATACGTATCACATTGCAACCTCCATCAGTGAATACCATTAAGCCCGCATACAAATATACCTAGAGTTCAACTTTTGAACATGGATCCAATGAAAATATGAGGGAACCTAGGATGCTTCAGAAAATACACATTATCAAATGTTAACTAGTGTCCTGAAGCCTAAGAACCCAGGATTGGAAATCCTGCTCTCAACTTATTCATGATTTTAATCACCATTCCTTCTCTCATTCAATATTCGTTGACATGTAAAATGCATTGCTCTGGAAATGGAGAAATTTGGATTCTGGTCCCCAATCATCCACTCATCCTCTTGTGACCTTGTTCAGGTCAACCAATTTCATTCATCTTCAGTTACCTCATCCGTAAGCAAGTCTAATAATATCGTAATTGACTGAAGACTGAGGACTGGACCACGCGAGAAATCTATGGCTTTTGTATGCAGTATAATTCCAGGAAAGAACATTACATAAAAAAGAAACGTTTCATAGTCTAACATATTCCACAATGAATTTCTAGCTTTCATTCTCTGAAGGAACAGTAAATATTACAATCCTCTTCGAGTATACAATTGTCGACATAGGACGGCACCATTCTTCTGTAGATTTACTAACACTAAAAATTACCTAGAACATCATCCTTTCAGGATTGATTTTTGAAAAACACTATAAAAGTCAGCATTGCCCTTTGATCACACTTACCAGCTGACTGGCCGCGGTTGGTGGCATCGTGATCACTATCTCCCTGTTCACTGTCTCCATGGCCACTGTCCTTAGAGCTTACTATGTCGGCTTCCTGGAATGCAGAACTAGAAGTACAAAAATGTGAATATTAGAATAAAAAAAGGTGAAGAAACACAGAAAACATTCTTCTGCCACCACATGGTCACTGATGGTGCTGCAGATGCCTAGAGCTCTCAGGTGGCTTTATTTCTGCTTAAAGCTAGTTTTCATAACCTTAAGCCTAACTCTCTAAAATTAAACATTAGCAGTTAGTTGGAGCCATTAAGGCATGTAAAGTTTAGCCATTATTCTGTGATTGGAACTAAGCATATGTTTATATCATTTTCATAGAAGATATATATATGTATATATCTGGAACAGCTAGGAAGATTATTAGAAGCAGTGTAGGAGTGTAAACTGACAAAATATTCAAGTATACTTAGTGGTTGTATGTAAATGAAACACACCAATATTTTTAAAGTTTATTGTCTAGGAAACCTAACGTAATCAGTATTTATGTCCTGCCCTAATTGGAAATACTTTATCATTTTCTATTTTGATATTGAATAATATACCTAATTCCTACTTTTAGTAGGTAGTAATTTGTCCATACACCAAGGTAGGAAAAAAAAAAGGAGTTCATACCTGTTAACTCGGCGAGGTCTGTCAACTAGATAGCTGAGCTCTGCTCGCTGGTGTTTAGTCTAGAAAAAAAATAAATAAATCAAGAGCATTTGAATGCTAAGGGTTTAACTAACAAGTCTGTTTTTGAAGTTAGGAACTAATTCTAGCTTAAGTAATTGTGTACATTTTTATGAATTTCTAAGCTGTCCTAAAGCCTCAGACTAGTGATTGCTGGGTAAAGGCAAGAAGATATGCAGAGACACTTCAATCTAGATTTTCAGTAAAGGTTAAAAAAAAATGCAGATAAAAGGCCAATTTTAAGTGTGTGTGTGTGTGTGTGTGTGTGTGTGTGTTAAGGAGAGAATGCAAATGACCTCATAGCTGGGGCTCATAAACTATTGTCTCCAATAGGGTCAACCTAGTTATATATGCTGCAGTCTTTCTGTTTCAGTGGCCTAAAAACAGTGTTTAGGTGCATATACTGGTTGACACAAGAAAAACAGCACGCTCAATAAGAAAAAGTTTGGATATTTTATGGAATTATTTTGTTGTTTATTTTCAAAATGTGCTTAAGATACAAATGAGCTGTACAAATATTCATGAAAGTCAATGAATAATATCTAAGACTCAAAATAAATGAAATAACCTGCCAAGAAAGGAGTTCATAATCCTCCCTTCCCTCCTGGCCCCAATTCTTTTTCCCCTCCAAACACCCCCTGCCTTCTCCTCCCCGCCTCCAGCACCCACACGCCTTTTCCGGTCCAAACTTTCTTTTACAGAAATCAACTCTGTTCTCCCCACCTCCCTCCCTCCTTTCAACTTCGCTACTTCTCCATCTTATAAAAAGAAATCGGAATTGACAAGCCAAATTCTTGGATGAAGAAAGCCAACAGCAGTGAGTTATCCAAAACGGTGGCAAGAAGGTAATTATTAGCTAAAAGATATACTCAAGACAACAATTGTTTAAGCCTTCCGTTAGTTTATGCTTACAGGGGTTTGTGCCAAAGCAACTTCATTCAAATTCACACTGTGTGGGCGTTCGGCTTCAAGAGCGTCTGTAAATGCTGTCCAGAGCAGAACTGAAGGCTTTTTTTGCAACCCGAGTTCAAAGGACAAGGATCTGATAACTCATTCACTAAAACATGCATTCAAGTTTAGACAACTGTGCAAAGTTAAACAATCTATAGCTTACTTTTACACGCGACTGAAAGCATCGATAAACAAAGCAAAACAATGAACTTTATTAACGCCTGGGACAAATGCAAACAGAAAAAAAAAACACCTTTGCCAGCGCCAGAAGGTCCCTCCACCGCCTTTCCCTCTCCCCACAGCGCACTTTCCCCTTTACCCCCAGATTTCTAAGAAGGGAAAAGACTGAGGGGGGGGTTGGGATTTTAAAGGAAAGATGCCAGAGGGAAGAGGGAAGGTCCAAGGTGGCAAAGCACCAAAGGAGGGGAATGAAAATAAACGTGGAGGGGTGGAGCGCAGAAAATTAGGGACAACACGAAGTTTAAGTTATACACGAAAGTGTGGGAGAGGTGACTCCCCATTCCTGCCTCCACAAAGATACAAGTGAGCTAATATCCTAAAAATAAATACACAGTGCACCAGAGATACAAGGGCCGGGCTAGAGGAGGCTTTCGGATGGAGGAGATGAGAGATGGTGGTCCTGGCGCTTCAGCCTTACCTCGTTGGACAAAATGCTTCCGTTGGAGATGATGTCGGGCTGCTGGTCTGTGTAGCCGGTGACGATGGCCCCGCAAGGGTTGTGCTCAGTGTCCGTACTCCGCGAAGGGCTGCAGGGTTTAAGGAACATCAGGTCGGTCTTGGCGGACTCGGGGGTCAGGCAGACCTGGTAGCAGTAATTCTGGTTGTGGTGATGGGAGCCAAAGCCACCGGACTCCTCCACCGGCACTTGGGCCGGGTTACTGGCTACGTTGGAGCTTTGCACCAGCATGATGTCCGACTTGCTGAGTTTCTTCTTGCGCGCCCGGGCTTGGCGGCCGCAGCAGGTCGAGCCGCCACCGCTGCAGCAGCAGCAGCAGAGGCAGCAGTCGCTGGCCAGACACGTGTAGATGTTGAGCTTCTTCTCTTTTTGGCAACGCACGGCAAGCACGATCATGGCCAGCAGGAAGATGAAGGACACCGAGCCCAGCGCGATGATGAGGATGAGGGTGAGGTCCAGCGAGGTCTCCCCGCCGCCGGAGCGGCTGGGGCGCTGGTGCTCCCCTGACCCCCCGCCCCCGCCCCCGCCCCCGCCCTGGGGCTCGACAGAGCCATCCACCAGCTGCACCACCAGGGTGGCGGTGGAGGACAGGGGAGGTTGCCCGTGATCGCGCACCTCGATCACCAGCTCGTAAGGCCGCTGGGGGTCGCGCTTGGCCGGCACCCGGCGCGCCGTGCGGAGCTCCCCGGTGCGCCAATCCATGCGGAAGAGGTTCATTTCGTTACCCCGCACAATGCTGTAGGTGAGCCGGGCGTTCTCGCCGTCGTCCGCGTCCACCGCGGCTACGCGGGTCAGCAGGTAACCGGGCTCCGCCGAGCGGGGCAGCACCTCGCGCGCCGGAGTCCCGTTGCGCCCCGGAAGGGGCGCCACTATGGCAGGGGCGTTGTCGTTCTGATCCACGATGAGGATGTTGACAGTGGCGTTGCCAGCCAGCGCCTGGGGGCTGCCGGCGTCCCGGGCTTCCACCTGGAAGCTGAAGTCCTTGAGCTGCTCGTGGTCGAAGGAGCGCAGGGCGTACAAGTAGCCGTTCTCGGAGTTGATGGATACGTAAGTGAAGACGCTCATGCCCTGGATCTGGCACTCGAGGATAGAGTAGGCTAGCTGGGCGTTGGCGCCCTCGTCACGGTCTGTGGCGCTCACCGCGTAGATGTAGGCGCCCGGCACATTGTTTTCGGTCACATACACGTCGTAGACCGGCTGGCTGAATCGCGGTGCGTTGTCGTTCACATCGGACACCTGCACCTGGATCGACTTGCTGGTGGAGAGCGCAGGCTCGCCCTGGTCCCGAGCCACCACGGTCAGGGTGTAGGAGTCCCCCGCCTCTCGGTCCAGAGGGGCCTCGGTCACGATGGTATAGTAGTTTTTGAAGGAAGACTTGAGGCGGAACGGCACATCCCCCAGCAGCTCGCACTGCACCTGCCCATTCTCCTCTGAGTCGCGGTCGGTCACGCTGAACAAGGCCACCACCGTGCCGGGCGCCGCGCCCTCGCTCACCGCCTCCTTCACGGTGCTGAAGCTGATCTCCGGCGCGTTGTCGTTAGCATCCAGCACTCTCACGATCACCTTGCAGTGCGCGGGCACGGCGTTGGGGCCCAGGTCCTTAGCTTGTACGTACACTTGGTACACCGGGCTCTCTTCGTAGTCCAGTTCGCCGCTCACCTCCAGTCGGCCAGTGCGAGGAGAGAGTCCGAAGAGCTCCCGCGCCCGGGGCGAAATGTGGCTGCTGAAGGAATACACGACCTCGCCATTCTGGCCCTCATCTGGGTCCGTGGCATTAAGCTGGATCACGAGCGTGCCCAGCGGCGAGTTCTCTGGGAGGGACACAGTGTAGACGGGTTGGTCGAAGGCGGGCACATTGTCGTTGGAGTCCAGCACTCGGATGGTGAGTAGGGCCGTGCCGGTGCGCTGCTGTTGGGGGAGCAGGCCCCCTCCCGCTCCGCCTCCTCCGGCCCCTCCTCCCCCGTCCACCGCGGTCAGCACGTAGCGGTGCACCGCTTGCTGCTCTCGGTCCAGCGGCTTCTCCAGCACCAGCTCGGCGAATCGGTTGCCATCCCCCTGGGTCTGCACGTCCAGGGAGAAGTAGCTGTTGGGGGTGATCTCGTAGTCGCGTAAGGAATTGGTGCCCACGTCTGGGTCGAATGCGCTCTCCAAGGGGAAGCGGGTGCCCGGCGTGGCGCTCTCAGAGATCTCCACGGTCAGGTCCGGCTCCGGGAAGGAGGGGGGGTTGTCATTGATGTCCAACACCTCGATCTCCACACGGAACAGCTCCAGGGGGTTTTCCAGGAAGACCTCCAGGTGCAGGACGCAGGAGGGGCTCTGCTTGCAGATTTGCTCGCGGTCAATCTTCTCGTTCACGTACAGCACCCCGGTCTCCAGGTTGAGGTCCAAGTAAGGGGTCCGAGAGTTGGGCGCCGTTTGAAACCCGCGAGCCGAAAGTTTTGTAATGTCCAAGCCCAGATCTTCAGCGATATTCCCCACGAAAGTGCCATGTTCCTGCTCCTCCTGGACCGTGTAGTGAAGCTGGGAAAAGACTCCTTCCACCATCCAGAGCAAGGCGAAGAATAATAGCACAATCATCTCCAAAGGGAAAGGAAGCAGCTTCCCGCAGCCAGCCAGCCACCCAATCGCCTCCCCAGCTACCACGAAAAAAAAAAAAAATCTCAAATAAAAGTGCGCTCTGTGTGTGTGTGGGGTGGGGGGGCTGTCTTGTGGCTTTCTGTCCTTAAAAATCTAATTACTTTTGCCTCATTTTAGGGTTTCCCCCAGTTCAGCCTAATTTTTCAATCTTAGCGCAGGAAGGGTGACAGGCGTCCCCTTTCCTCATCTGTAATCTTCCCACTGACCAATTAATAAAATAATAACAATAGTCAGCGTCCTTTATTCCGACAGTCTTGGCGCAACGCGGTGCTGGCAAAGCCCAAGGAGGAAATTTTGATATTTCAAGACTGTCCTCGGTTTGTCTTCTTGCTGATGGGAGGAGAAGAATGAGGTGGAAGAGGAAGAGGAAGAGGAGATGCTGTTGGCACCGCTGAACATGCCTCTTAACGTCAACGGCTGGCAAATGCAGAAGAGCTTAAAAACGGCGAGAGAATTTTGTGCCGAAAAAGCAAAGAACGGTTCTGCAGCATAAAACTTTCATTCTCTTCATTTCTCCGGATGGATGTGCTTCTTGGCCTTTTTTCCTCTTTCGCTCTATTTGTAGTTTTTGGCTTTCATAGTCTTACTCTCTGTCCTCATCTCCACTGTCGTTTGCCTCTCTGGAAGTGTGAAGAGCAGTTTCTTTCTTGCTGTTTCCTTCCCAAGCCTCTTCTTCCCTCTAACCTATCTCTCTTCTTTCCAGTCCTTCCCTCCTCCTGCCTCAGCCCCAGAGCCTGCGATCTCGGCTGGCAGTTTCTGAGCTCCGAGCGCTCCGCTTCCCTGTTTTTGCGCAGCGCCCTCATTCTGCCAACCAATCGCTGAGAAGCACCACCCACCGAGCCACCGCTAATTGGCCAACCTGACCGTCAAGCAGGCGCGTCACGCAAGCAACCGGGCCGGGCGGGATGCAGCCCGCGCCCGGGCTGCCGGGGTGAGTGTGAGTGTGAGCGCGACCACAGCCCGGCAGGTCCCGAGGCGCTAGCTGGGACTCTGCCACGGAAAGTTCCCAGTCCCCGGCCGCAGGTAATGGCGAGGGAATAGAGAGGTTCCCCTGTTTGCATCAGCAAATGCGAAAACATAATAGCAGCAGCGGTATCCTCTCCCAGGAGCGGGGTTTCCAATGACGCTAGCATTCTTTTTCCTTTCAGGTATTTTCCTTGCTACTGTTCGTGGAAATAAGTCACCGAGAACAGGAAAAAGTTGCAGAGGTGCCACTAATTGGCAGGGGTTACCTAATTAAGGGACTCTGGTGGAGATTGGCAGGACTTTTAAAAAACAGATACGATAAGGACTGTGTTAAACTAAGTGTGAGGGTCTGAAGGGGCCGTGTAGGGAGGGGTGAAGCTTAGGTGGGTCCTGAAAAGCCGCGGGATTCAAGCCCAGGGTTGAGGGCTGGCGGCTCCTATAGACGTGCGGCCGCGTTAGTCTTACCTCTTCCCTTCCTAAACGTACACCCACAATATTCTTACCAAATAGATTAATGCGCTTGGGGACCCGGGTTGAGCTGTGAATCCTTCGGTCAGTGACTGAGGAGTTTCATCTGAGCTCCGCTTTGGAGCCCGCCCGCCTAACGCCGGCCTCGCGGGCCTCTGGCTTGTTCGCTGCAAGGCGCCGCGGATATGCCTGCGCGTCCCCCCGGCCAAGTGCGACGCCGCGGCGGCGCGCACAGGCTTTTTTCTGCTTATTTTGACAATTGGAGAGCTCCCCCTTCCGCCCTCTGCTAGACCGGAGCACCGATTCTTGCCCAGCTTGGGGCAAGACCGCTGGATGAGGACAGCTGGGCGGCGGCGAACGCGGGCGCGGGCGTAGGCGGGGGTGGGTGCATGGGCTGGGTCGCTGCACACGCGGAGCCAGAGTGTGTGCCGCTGCGGGTATCTGTGAACGCGCTTGCACATTCACGGTGCTCGCATCCATCCTTCCTGGTCCAGCGCACAGCTCTGTGTAAGTCCCAACGGAGCACCCTCCACCCCTCCTCCCGGGTCGCGAAGGATGCGCTTGACGAGCTCCGAGGGCTCACTCCTGAGGCGCGGGGGCAAAGCGGCGCGTAAACGCACCCAGTTCCTGTGAAGTTGAAATAGAGCGCGAACTCTTCAATGCGAGAGAGTGGATTGAATGTTAATTCTCCAAGAAAAGATTTTAAAAAACCCCAGAAAACATAATTGTGTATTAATTAGTGGGCTGTAAGGGGTTGTTTATTCAAACGCAAGCCGCCCTTGTTCAGTTTCCTTCTTATGCCACAGGATGGGAAGGTCCCTTGGGGCTTCCTGGTAATGAATGACCTGAGAGCAACACCGCCACAACCTGCGGGAAAAGGAGAGTCGTTTCCCCGACCCCGAGGTACGTTGCCATTCCCTCCTGGCGGGGAATTAAGGAGGGCGAGTGGCCATGGGCGTGATTATAGACTGAGGCATGCCCCTGCGAGTGCGTGTCTGCTGCCCTAGCCCCCCGCCCCCCTTGGCTCTTTCATGGAGATGGGTCCTGCCTTTGAGCGGTTAGAAGGAAAGGATGCCAGCAAAAATGGCTAATCCTTTTCCAGCTGCAGTAAATTGACGATTGGCCAAAGCCAAGCGAAAACCGCTGCAGTTGAAATGATTTTAGCATCACGTCTGCGGCTGCGAATGGAGCGTCAGTTTATAAAAGGACCTGTGGATCAATGAAAAGGAGATTATAGTGTATCTGAATATTAATAACGGCATTGCATCTGTACTTTCTACCCCTCCCCCTCCCTGTTTTTTCTTTAGATCTGAAGGATTGAAATGACACGTTTTGAGGTCTTCAAGCTGACCCATCAGAATCCTGGAGCATTTTTTAAATGACGGTAATTTTCTAATATTTCATTTGTACATACGGAAACACTTGTGTGTGTGCCTGTGTGCGTGCGTGTTTGCGTGTGAGAGACATGCGGCTGAATGACAATACAGATCCGGAAATTGTTTGCGGGAGACGGTTTGTGCTCTCAAGATGTAGATGAAGTTTGAGCCGACTTTGGACGTTCGCTGAGAGCCAGAGTGCTTCCCGAGGTGGAGATGAGAACGTGGAGAGATGGCCAGATTTGCCTGTAAATAATCACTACATCCACTGTTAACGCTTGAGCTGCATTTTTTTTTCTTTTTGGTAGCAGTTGTGTTTGAAAGGGGAACTCTCGCCGCAAACGTGGGTTACAGGCGTCTCCTAGCGGCGAAAGCAACACAGGGCATGCCGGAGAATTTCGCTTTGGAGCTCTCATTCGACAGGGCTGGCCTGTTGGGGGCTCTTTAGGATTTCTTGGGCCACAGAGGCCTGCATTCACGCCGGCGACGCCGTCTGGGGTCCTGTAGAGGTCTCGCCTCTGACTTCTAGTCTCCGAGGCGCCGTGGTATCGGCGAGGTGACGACGGAGCCTTCCGCCTGGGAGAGCAGACGCGAGCCTGGCCGTCCGCCTCCGTCTGGGTAGCTCCGGCCAAGGGCAATTGCAAGAGTATTTTGTCCCGGGCCAAGATTCAGACGTTGGCATCAGCACCCTTACTGCCTTACTTGCCTCCTTACTCTGGAACCTTAAACAGACTCCCCTCGCCCCGTCACCCACGAAACAAAACCACACTTTAAATCTGCCTTTTAAAAATGCTTTTGAAATGAAACCCGTGTACTTTTTTCCTTGCTGTGTCAATCCAGCAGATTTCCGCCCCCCCTTCTTTTTCACTCGGCGGACCCCAGAATGTAGTGAGGCCGTGATTACATAGATAACAGCTTCGGCGGGGGGGTGGGGCGGGGGGGTGGACGACCTCTTTGAAGTGCAGAATACAGTTCAATGCAGCGTCCTTCGACCTCCTCCCCCCCAATTATTGAAACCGGCCGGGAGAACTAATTCCTAATGTAACCCTCCCCCAAACGCCACACCCCCTCCAGGAGCGCCAACCATCTGGGCCCAGACAAATCGTATCCTAAAGCAGATGGGGAAAGTAGCTATTATTATTTGGAGGGGGTTTATCAAAATCAATTTTCATAAAAAATCCTGGTAGGTGTGTGAGTGATTATGCACCCTCGTCTACTTCATTGTCCTCTAAGGGCAGCCGAATGGGGAGGGGGGCGCTAAGGATCTCACCGTCGCGTTTTATGTACATAGTTACAAACTTTGAAAGCAGCTAACCGGGCTGCTTTCTTCCCTACCCTTTTCTGTAAAAGGCGGGAGGGAAACAAGTTTGTTAACCAGCGTTTGGATGAATGAGTGTTTGCAGTGATTTAATTTGACTTGAAAGCAATTTGTTTCTAAATCCTCTTATTATTGCAGTGTGCCCAGGGCTTTGAGAGAAAAAAAAATTTTTTTTAAGAAATGGAAGAAAAAAAATTTAAATTGTCAATAAGGAGTCTTTCAAATGCCAGGCCCCTTGCCAGGGTTGAGCTGAGTGGTTCCTGGCACTTGTCATTCCCAGCAAGCACAGTGCAGAGAGGAAATGCAAAGTACCTGGAGTGTATAGCATCTCGAATGGGTAACCATGAAATCAGTTTATTTGTAGTAATGTAACCTAACTTAAGAGGTGGGAAGGCAAGGCTTTGGAGCCAGTGCCACACTGGTCGTTCTTGTTCATCTACAGTAGAGTGAGTGTTGACTAGAGTTCCTGGAAAAGATTTATAGCATATACATGCTATTGTAAGCATTCAGGTAACTCTTTTGTTACTGTGTTCTAATCCTTTGGACCCAACAGAACAAACCAACCCAGTTTCGCGGGCTGAGAATACCAGCTCTTAAGTGTTACTTGATATTTGAAGTAGAACCGTTCTTCTCCATTTTGTTTAACCTTGTTAATATTGGTGTGGCTTCACATTTCAGTGTCTTTTCGGTTATCAGACAGGGCCAGCGTTTTGTTAAACTCTACAGTGAATTAAAAGCACCGATGAGCTGAAGCAGCCCTTTAATGCAAAATGACAAATTGCACTTAAGCAATACATGAACAAGAAAATGATTTATGGATTTTTACAGTGGTCTGAGCAAATGAAAGCAACATGAATTATACATCCTAAATGCTCACGATATCATTTTCTAATAATACTGTTTCAGTTCAGATGCTTTATACTCTTATCCTTTCTATAAGAGATATTGATCAGTAAGAAGTCCAGGAGTATTTTTAAATTAGACAACGGTGTTTGATACTGGTTCCAAATACATATATGTTTCCTGAGTGTGGGGTGGGTGATCAACATTGACACAGTAACATTCTTGTCGGCTCCCTCACATATTGTGTCTTTTAGTGACAAATAGGTAGTCCTTTGGAAACTTATGTTTTGTTCCACACCTTCTTTCAAAATGTAAATAAAGAGATCTGATGCGGAATGACAATCTTTATTACATTATGACCTCTTTTTCTGAAAATCAAAATGCATTACCTCATCTTATCCTTTTCTTAAAAATTGCTTTGGATAGTGAAATATCTGATTTCTCCAAAATGTCTCTTATCCTCTTCATATTGGTTTATCCTGTCTTTTTTTTAGAACATTGTTTAATTCCTTAGCGTGTTAAAGACACACCTGAGTGAGTAAAAATGTCATGTGCCTTAGTATTTTGGCATTAGTAGACAAACTAGATCTATGGCTGTCTTAAATTACAGAAAAATACTCAATCAGGTAAAATTCTGTGTGGTGCCTGTCTGAAAAAAAAATTAGTTACTTCTGTGTTATGATGAGTGACCACTCCTAGCATTTTTATTTAATCATTTGTGACTTATATAACTAAATATTTTAGAATTTTAAGTGAAGACATTGTCCTTACTGTATTACATACTCAACCAGAGGAAACTTCTAATTACCCAGAGACCTCTAGAGTCACATTATTAGGCTTAATCTTAATGATCCAGGTTTATTAAAAAAAAAAAGAAAAAATTGAATCCCAGCCTCTGCTTTTTACAGCATTAATAATTACTCTTACTGAAGATTACTGAAATCAATGACGTGATTAGGATTGTAAATAAGAACTACAAGACATCACATTTAAAAAGCCAGCTGCTTTGCTAACAGGGATGATGTATGGGTTTTACTGATGGGGCCCAGAGGTGGAAATGAAGCTTTAAACATTAAGGTCGATATAGAACAATTTCAAAAATTAATTGCAAGCCCTGATTAAGTTTATATGAGTAAGAGAAAAGATGTCTAGAAATCTCTCTTTTTTCTTCCCCAGGGAGTTTGCTTCTTATTTGACAGTGATACAGTCAACACAATACTAGTGTTTGTCTGGAAAGTATAAATTGTTTTCTTAAGGGGAAGCCCCTTGATTTGATGAATACAGAATGAGATTACTCAAATCGTGATTAGGGTTACAAGTTATAGCATTATTTTCTGAAGGGTTTGAAAAACGGTATTGGAGACAGGCACCATGGAAAGAATATGAAACGTAGAGAGAGAATTACATTAGCAATTAGAATTGCAACAGTAAGCAGAACAAATAGTAAAGCAGATACTTCAGTTAAAAAAGGTATCTCTCTCAGTTTGGCTAGTTACTATAACTCTATAAGAAACTTGATTTCTATGATGTCTTATTTAAATAGACTTGCAATGCTATACTGTAAAATGCTTTATTTGATTGCAGTTTCTTGGGGTTTTTTAGGTGAAAGCGACACCTGGTTTGTAAACAGCTAGTATATGCCAAGCATTCTTAGATAAGTTGTGGTATTTTCCCCCCATGTCTACAGGTAATATCATCCCAACATTATAGGTAAGGATACTAGGATGTCCAGAATTTAAATATCTCACCAAATTAATACAAAATGCAGATCCAGGCCTTTTAATGCTCAGGTTGAGTCTCGTTTTACTACACTATGATGTTTTCCTAGTCTATCTGATTGAATTTACTTAGGAGGTAAAACAAAAAATGAATTAATTTAGAGATTAAAGATGGAGTTCAGGGCTTCCCTGGTGGCACAGTGGTTGAGAGTCCGCCTGCCGATGCAGGGGACACGGGTTCGTGCCCCGGTCCGGGAAGATCCCACATGCCGTGCAGCGGCTAGGCCCGTGAGCCGTGGCCACTGAACCTGCACGTCCGGAGCCTGTGCTCCGCAATGGGAGAGGCCAAGATGATTATGGAATCTTATTTACTTACTGTAAGTAAAATATGTATTATGGTTTTGGCAATAAGCACTGACAGAAGAGAAATATCATATTTCTTCTAGAAGTGTGCCCATTATTCAGAATATGTGTAATGTAGGCCCTGTAAGGTAGGTTCTATATCTGACTAATTTCTGAAGGCACCCAACTGTGACAGGTGATGATACATTAAATTATGAAGAATTAAACCAAACTGGGCTCAAATCCCTGCTTCTCCAAATATTTGAACTTGGCCAAATTATTTAACTCCTTTGAAACACTGTCAAAGTGTGTTAAACACTCTAAACATCTGTTAGAATATGATGATACATTTACCTTGTTGAGTCATTGTGAGGCTTAAACTGAAACGATATATGTAAAATTCTCAGCCCATAGTAGACTTTCAATAAATATTAACTATTATCATAGCAAGATTTTTTTGAATGAGATAGTCCTTAACTAAGATATTTATTGAGAATAATTAGTATTGATTTTCCTGGTGGTTTTATTATCTTCATGAAACCCAAACTAAAGTATTTACTTTGAGGACAACTTTACATTGTCCTTATTTTGCAGGAGATTATAATTTTAAAGAGAATGCAAATAATAAATGAAGAAGACCAATCTAACTAAATTTTAATTAAGCATCAAAACATAAAAATCAATGGGCTTTTCTTCATCATCACGTTGCTTTAACACTTTTATTTTCTTCTAGGTAAGTTTAAATTTTCTGTAAGTTTTAATTTATATGATAAAACTTATGTGTAGATTTATAAAATCATTTTGATATAAACATGGTGTTTCATTGTAAAATACTGGTTTTTTATTTCTACATTTATCAACATTTTAGGGTTAAAGGACTCTTATTTGACATATTCATGATTTTTCCTCCAATTCCTTGACGTAGAGTCTTAATACCTACTACTGTCTTCATGCTGATGAGTACTAAAATTCTCAAAATTAAAAACGAATTGGTGAAAATCACTTAAAGTAGAATGAATTTATTAGAATGACCAGCTCTGAGCCTCAAGCCTCAAATGTATTTGACTTTCTCTTCAGCATTGGCTTTGCTATATTTCTGTCTAGCATTGACGTTATTAGTATTCTCCTTGGTAGCTTCTTATACTTTTAGAAACAAAAACATGCACTGGTGCTTGTGTGATAGGAGCACAGCTGTAGGGATACTGAAAGAATGGAAAACAAGGGAAATCATGGATATATTTCTCCAGAATTCATCCTCAGTTTGATAAATAAAGAATGTGCATAAAAATGTTCTAATAACTTCATTAAACAGCATGGAAAATACATTTAAACATATAATGACTATGAATGCTGAGTGCATGGGGAGTAAAGAAAAGACTAGAATAAAAACATTTAGTTAAGCAAAGATTTCCAGAAAAGGACAGTTTGTGTTAAGGATTTTAACGGCAATAGTACTACAGATTAGCAGAAAGAAATATCTGAAGCAGGTTAAAGGAACTGGCACAGTAAAGAAGTGAAAACAGTGATAGCAACAAGCTTTTCTATGGAGATCATAAGAACAGCAAATTAAGCTTTTCAATTACAGGCCAATATCCTGACTTCGGACCTAGTTACTTGAATCTATGATGCCAGGCGGC